TCTTGGGCAGTGGAATGCAAGGTTTCATGCATGCTAGGGAAGTGTCACACCAATGAGTTACACCCTCAGCCTCTGACAGGAGAAATAATTGTGACAATAGCAAGGAGGTAAAGTAAGAAAATATCCATGTTTGTTTTTGAGAGAAGTACAAAGGGCACAGTGGAAAAATGTTATCAGATCTTCCTGTAAAGGGGTTTCACTGTACTATCATTTCTGCTTTTAAGGTATGTTTGATATTTTTGTAAAATATTTTAATACTGGCCTCTCAATTACTTGGGAGGCAGCGTTAGGAGGATCAAGACCCAAGGCTGGCTCTCAGAAAAATGAATCTTATCTGAAACAAACAAAAAACAAAAAACTGAAAGCAAAAGGATTGGAATATGGTTCAAGTGGTAGCAAGCACAAAGCCCTGAGTTTAAACCCCAGTACTGCAAAATGGAAATTTAATAACTGAGAGCACTTAAGATGAATCTTTAAATTCTAAAAAAAAATGTTAATGAACTGATTATTAGAGTACCTGGCTTTTTGCTTTAAGTTAGGTATTGTTGGACTAGCTGGACACAGTGGTGCCTACCTGTAGTCTCATCTATTAGGAGCTAGAGTTAGGAGAGCTAGAGTTAGGAAGCTCACTATCTGAGACCACTCCAGGCAAAGCACAAGACCCTATATTTAGAACAAGCAAAAGAACTGGTTTCGGGAAAGTTCCTGAGTTCAAATCCTACTACAGGAAAAAAAAGTTAAGTTCTCAGCACTTCTTTTCTAAATTCTAATAGAGAAACTCACATAGCAATTAAAATTACAGTAAAATGTAGAATTCAAGAATATCAGTTCAGCAAGCTACAGTGGTTCACATCTATCATCCTAGCAACTCAGGTGATAGAGATCAAGAGGATTGTGGTAGGAGGCCAACCAGCCTTGGTGGTGAAATCCAATCTAAACAGAAAAAGCAGATGTGATAAATAGTAGGACCTTGGTCCAGGCAGGCTTAAGGCAAAAATCAAGTCACTGTCTCAAAAATAACCAGAGCAAAATGGGCTGAAGTTGTGGCTCAAGTGGGAACATGCCTGCAAACTAATCAAGAAGCCCTGAGTTCAAACACCAGGATTACAAAAAAGCAAAGAGAAGAATACATAAACCACACATTGAACAGGATAAAAGGCATCTTTATTTTTTTGTAGTCATCAGAGACAGTTGAAAAGCTCTTTCAGGGCCACACAGAAACGGGGCGGGACTAGAAAGGACAGCATGGCTGGGAGCTGGAAGGAGCCCGTCCCTAGATCCAGCACCCCTCACCCCAGTGCACCCTGCCTCATCCCCTGCTCATGTTTCTAAGGACCCATCAGAAGAGAGGGGTGACTGCAGGATGCCACATGAGTTCTTTTCTGAAGCCAAATATGGAAGCCCTGTGGGAGTTTCCCAGCACAAGGGATTCAAAGCAAACATGAGCAATGAGGTTTGGCGTGTAATCAGGATGTCCCTGTGAATCTGGACCAGGGAAGACTTTCCATAAAGAATGCCCCAGGCGAGCAGAGCAGTACACCAGCAGACTCCCTCCTGCTCTAGGAGTCTCCACATATTTCTTTGCCATTATGTTCATTATGAGATCAGAATGAGAATAGAAGAGATAAATCCAGCCCCCTCTCATTGTCCAGCAAGGCCCTTCTAAGGGGGTCCAAAGCATAATGTTCTTGGCAGCAGAGTGATTTTTTTTAATTTAATTTATTTTGTGAACATACTGTACAGAGGGGTTACAATTACATGGGCAGGATAATGCGTACATTTCTTATCAAGCATTGCAGCCTCCTCCTTTGTTTACCCTTCACCTCCCTTCCCTACCTCCTCCTTACCCCCCTCCACCCAATCCTCCCCCCTCCCCACCCCCCCCACCCTCGCACCAACGTTGTAAAGCTCGTTTTCGACATGACCTTGTACTTCTCATTGTTGCAACAGGTCCACCTGTATCCTTAAACGACTTGTTTTTCCCCATCTCCTCCACAAGTTATACTGACATCAAATATAGTGAAAGCAGGGGTTATACTGTGGGGGAGGGACATACAAAGCAACAAAGAGATAATCTTATAAATGCATTAGAAACAAATGCATGAAATAAAAAAGCATTAAAATACATATCTAAGGGTTCATTTTCCTAACATCACATTATCTGACCTTTTCTGCTTGACTCATACATATACTAGATATTGCAAATAAAGGAAACCATGGGACCTATGTTTCTTTGGGCCTGGCTTACTTCACTTAATATAATTTTTTCCAAGTTTTTCCATTTCCTAACAAATGGGGCAGTGTCATTCTTTCTGATGGAGGCATAGAATTCCATTGTGTATATATACCACGTTTTCTTGATCCATTCATCTACTGAGGGGCATCTGGGTTGGTTCCATATCTTAGCTATGGTAAATAATGCTGCAATAAACATAGTTGTGCTGGTAGCTTTAGTGTGGTCTTGTTTGTAAACATTTGGGTAAATGCCCAAAAGTGGGATTGCTGGGTCATAGGGGGAGCTCTATGTGAAGGCTTTTCAGGAACCTCCATACTGCTTTCCAAAGTGGTTGAACAAGTTTACACTCACACCAACAATGAAGTAAGGTTCCCTTCTGTCCACATCCCCTCCAGCATCTGTTGTTGTTAGAGTTCTTGATTATAGCCATTCTAACTGGGGTGAGGTGGTATCTCAATGTTGTTTTGACTTGCATTTCTTTTATGGCTAGGGAGGTTGAACATTTCTTCATGTGTCTATTGGCCATCTTTCTTTCTTCTTCAGAGAAGTTTCTCTTCAAGTCTTTAGCCCACTTATTTATTGGGCAGTTGTTTCTTTGAGGATTTGTTGTTGGGGGATTTAATTTTTTGAGTTCCAAGTATATTTTAGATATGAGACCCTTGTCCGTTGTATGGCTAGTGAAGATCTTCTCCCAGTCTGTGGGCTTTCTATTGATCTTGCTAGCTATGTCCTTTGCCATGCAGAAGCTCTGCAACTTCATGCAATCCCATTTGTCCAACCTTTCTTTGATTTGTTGTGTTTCCGGGTCTCTATTCAGAAAATTTCGGCCTGAGCCAAGGAGACCTAGGGTTTTTCCTATTCCATCCTGTAATGTTTTCAGAGTGTCTGCTTTGACTTCGAGGTCTTTGATCCATTTGGAGTTGATTCTGGTGCAGGGTGATATATAAGGATCTAGCTTTAGTTTTCTACATGTAGTTAACCAATTTTGCCAGCACCATTTACTGAAGAGGCTGTCTGTCTTCCATTCTATTGTTTTAGCTCCCTTATCGAAGATTAGATGGCTATAGGTCTGTAGGTTCATTTCTGGGTTTTCAATTCTATTCCATTGGTCCTGAGGTCTGTTCTTATGCCAATACAAAGCTGTTTTGATTACTATGGCTTTATAGTGGAGTTTGAAATTTGGTATTGATATTCCTCCAGCAGTGTTCTTTCCGTTGAGGAGCGTTTTTGCTATTTGGGGTCTTTTATTGTTCCATATGAATTTTTGGATTGCCTCTTCTATTTCCTTGAAGAATGAGGTTGGAATTTGGATAGGTATCGCGTTGAATTTGTAGATAGCCTTGGGAAGTATTGCCATTTTCACGATGTTAATCTTTCCAATCCAGGAGCATGGGAGGTTTTGCCATTTTCTAAGTTCTGTTTTGATTTCCTTTTTCAAGATTTTAAAGTTTTCATCATAGAGGTCCTTCACTTCTTTGGTTAAGTTAATTCCTAGGTATTTTATTTTTTGTGGGGCTATTACAAATGGAGTTGCTTTCCTAATTTCAGCCACACTTTTCTCATTGTTGGCATACAGAATTGATTTTGGGGGGTTAATTTTATACCCTGCTAAGCAGAGTGATTTTTTTTCTTGCTCTCCAAATATTTGTATACCATAGGAACATGGATGATACTTAAACCAAGAAAGAAAGTTTTCATAAAGGAAATCTAAACTGTCAAATGCCAGCCTTGAGGTGGTATGATGTGAACTGCCTTCTTGGTTTCCTTCCCTAACAGGCTTGTTGTCTCATTCCTGGGAGTGCTAGTGTCAAGCATCAGCCTGTCAGCCTCAGGGATCACCTGGGCTACAAAGAGAGCAGCCTTACCATCACCTGCATCCTTCCTGGGGCAGTTCACATCTAGGGACTGACCCGTGTGTGTGGACATCTGGTCAGCTCTGTGTGTGTGTGTGTGTGTGTGTGTTTGTGCACACGCGCGTGTGCACACACAGTTCTAGGAACTCAGGGCCTGAACTCAGGCCTAGGGTGCTGTCCCTGACCTTTATTACTCAAGATTAGCACTCTATCACTTGAGCCATGGCTCTACTTCTGGGTTTGGGGTGATTAATCGGAGATCAGGATCTCATGGACTTCCCTTCTCTGAGCTGGTTTTTCCTTAGATTCAGCCTACTATATAGCTAGCGTGACAGACATGAGCCATCAGTGTCTAACTCCTCCTGCTTTATTCTGACATCAGCTGATTTATCAAACTCACGACTTTTTTACACCTAAAGTGTGCAGAGATCTCTTTTGATGTCAACTCCAAGAACCATTGCTTGGCAAGGGAAGGGGAAATATTTCTACAGCATTGCAAGGAAAAAAAAAACAACAGATGTTTATGGCTATTAAAAATGTGATTAAGAGTCAAGAGTAAATTAAATGAGGGAAGTACAGTAAAGTTTTAAATGTTTTGCAGCTGGATGGAATCAGTAAATCTTTCATCAAGACAGAAAGTTGCAATCAAAGAAATGGATTGCAGCCTGCAGGGTGTGAGCTCTATCTATCTACATATGTATTTTTCAGGATACCTCAGAAAGTGGTTTGTTGTAAGAAAATGGAGAAGCCAAATTTTGAAGGATCAAATCCTGAGTCTTCATTAAAAGACTGGCGACTGCATGGTGGACTCCTGTCTCAAAGACCAGTGGCCAGCAAGTACACTTAACACTGTTAGGAAAATGATACCAACAAACCAATTCAGCTCCAATGGAGAGCTGAAGTGGAATGCCATGGCGACTGGAGAAGAGACAGGAGCCAGGGGACAGGACCTGAGCACAGAAGCACATGGCATGGTGCATGGTGCAATGACACCTGAGCTGGTCAGGGCCTAAATAGCATCAGGTCAGGGAGCAAGGTCACAGGAAACTCGCAGTCCCAGACACTGGACTGACAGGTTTAGTAACCTGTCAGCCAAGTCCCTGCCCCTATCCCCAGGGATTCAGGCATGCCCATCACCTGGGAGGCAGGGGCTTTACCTTCCCCCCCATGAAGATGTCAGACCCCACCATTCACCATGTGGCCAAGGTGGCACTGGCCAGACCCGATTGCCCTATTTCAGTTTAGTCACTGACTCCTCCTACAGCGGAGGTGAAATTCCTTCCTCTTCTTCTACTTTCTCATGTCTTTTCCATTTTCTTTCCTTATCCTACCAAATGAAGACTGGACAGAGGTTTGCTTCCGCATCAACACACAGTCCTATTCTAAAAAGGCTTCATAAAGAAGTTTATGAAACAAACAAGGTTGTGGAGTGAAAAGTAGGTCAAAAGGAAAAGGATCTCTTCTCCTCCGGAGCACCACTGAAGACTCTGGTGTGGCAGTGGGTGGCCGCCCAGCCCAGTGTTACCAGTATTGTAAGAACAAGCCGTACCCAAAGTCTCGCTTTTGTCGAGGTGTCCCTGATGCCAAGATCTGCATCTTTGACCTTGGGTGGAAGAAGGCAAAAGTGGAGGAGTTCCCACTTTATGGGCCCATGGTGTCAGATGAATATGAGCAGCTCTCTTCTGAAGCCCTAGAGGCTGCCCGTATTTGTGCCAACAAGTATATGGTAAAATGTTGTGGCAAAGATGGCTTTCATATTCGAGTACAACTGCATCCTTTCCATGTCATTCGCATCAACAAGATGTTGTCCTGCGCTGGGGCTGACAGGCTCCAGACAGGTATGCGGGGTGCCTTTGGGCAGCCACAGGGCACTGTGGCCAGGGTTCACATTGGCCAGGTAATCACGTCCACCCACACCAAGCTGCAGAATAAAGAACATGCGATGGAGGCCTTACGCAGGGCCAAGTTCAAGTTCCCTGGTCGTCAGAAGATCCACATCTCCAAGAAGGGGGGCTTTACCAAGCTCAACTCGGATGAGCTTGAAGACATGGTAGCTGAGAAGCGCCTCATTCCTGATGGCTGTGGAGTCAAATACATCCCGAATCGTGGTCCTCTGGATAAGTGGAGAGCCCTGTACTCATGAAGGCCTCCACCCACTGAGCTCTATCACTCGCCCCCACTTTAATCATGTTCCCCAATAAAACTTGCATTATGTCTAAAAAATTAAAAAAAAAAAAAAGGAAAAGGAAAACGGGTGAGTGTGAAAAAGCCAGGCCAAGTCCTTGTTCTCCATGTGTTTATGTTCCAGAGAGGTTTCACCATTGGTGATGCATGTATCTCTCCCTTGATTGGTCCTCCTCTCTCTGACCCCACCCTTCTTCAACACCATGGCCATAGGTATCATTTATGCACTGGTAGATCTTCATTGTGGAGGCTGTCTCATTGTCTGGAAATCTAATGATAGATGTTATTAAAAGGTGATATGCCATGTGGGAAGGTTACAATATCCTTCTTCTTTTGTGTTTTATGTCCAAGACTGTCTTGAATTCTAAAGAGAAGAAAGAATGAGAAACTGTCTAGTCATTCTCCCTTCAGTCTTTCTGTCTTTTCCTTCCTCTCCAAAATCATCTTCTCTTTTATTTATCTTAGCTTAACTTAGCTTAGCTTAGGTGGTGGGAAAATCTGTGCTAGAGACAGAACTCAAACTAGGTAAAAGAGCTAGGTAAGCACTCTACTACTGAACTATACTCCCAGCTCTAATTCTCTTTTTGAATAGTCTTTATAATATATATGACAACTGAAAACCTCCAAATAGTCTCAACAAAAATTATATAAAAGAAAATTTTATAGCATGATATTTAATAACATAGGCTGCAGTCAAACTATCTAGATTCAAATTCAGCTTTTCCGCTTGCTACCCCACTGGTCCCAGACAAGTTATTTCAACTCTATTTGCCTCAGTTTCTTTGTCTATGATGTGGAGATCATAATAGTCACCTTAGAGAACTAGTGTGAAGATGAAATTTGTTTATTTTGGTAAATGATATAGGCTAGTGTCAACACACAGTACTTCCACAAAAATATATTATTATAATTATTACTATTATTTTCATTGCTCTTTGTTTCCTTCTGCTACCCTAGACTCTGAGATCAGCATTAAGTTTTTGTGTATACTACTAGAAAATGCTTTTGCACATAAAAGATATCTCCCTGTTTTCATAAACAAGATAACATGCACATTCTTCTGGTTATCAATTCATATCTATTACCATCCCATTTTATTCATACAAATTTTTATTTTAGTAGTCCCTATAGATAGGTACTCAAGTCACTGCTAGTTTATAATTACAAATAACATAATAATGTCCTTTATACAGGTTAAGTAGCCCTTGCCTAAAATACTCTGAACCAAAAGTGTCCAGATTCTAGGGTTCTTTTAGATTTTGGAAATTTGCATATATATAATGTGATATAGTAGGGATGAGACATAAATTTAGACATGAAATTCAGGCTGAGGATGTAGCTCAGTGAAAGGGAAAAATGCTTACTTAGCATGCACAAGTCCTAGATTCTATCCTTAGCACTTTCCCGCCTGATCAGCCCCCCCCCCCCAGAAATATCAAACAATATTTTAGTAACTGTGTGCATAAACAAAGTTTCATGATGTGGAATTTTCCACTTGTGGCTTTATATCAGCATTCAAAAATTCTGGATCTTAGAACATGTTAGATACCTAATTTTCAAATTAGGTATGCGCTTCCACATAGATTTAGTGCACATTATACTAGATCAGCTCAACAGATTCCTGAGAGCTGAGCTTCTGCATCCAGGTTATATCCACTTGTATGACTGAATTACCCTTTTAAGCCATTTTTCATGAGATCACCTCTGGAATGGGTATGACATTCTAGTGGCAGCCCATGGCAGAGCAGAACTGTGAACTCATTAGCCAAGAAATAAGAAAGCAAGAAGAAAACTGGACATGATAGTTTATAACTACAATCCCAGCTGGAAGATTTCTAGTTTAAGGCCAGCTTGAGCTACATGATAAGACCATGTCTCAAAAAGAAGGAAGGAAGAAAGAAAAGAAAGAATGGAGGGAAGAATGAAGAAAAGAAAGGAGGGAGAGCAGAAAGGAGGAAAGGAAAGAACAAAGGGAGGGAAGGAGGAAAGAAGGAAGAAAAGCAGGCAGGCAGGCAGGGAACGGAGAGTAGAGAGTAGAGCTGCACAACCTCCTCTGAGGGCACCGATCTCCAATGACCTTAAGTCCTCTTCCAAGGCCCCGCCTCCTGAAGGTTCCACCATTTTCCAACAGCACCAAGCCTTTAGTACGTGGACCTTTGTGGGACATTCAAACCATAGCAGTGCTCCAGAGAGTCCCTGGAAAGGTCATTTTGAACTCTAGTGCTCTCCATTACTGGCCTCCTTTCTGTGCCAGTCACTCTCCATTTCCTGCTGTTAAGCAAGACATATTCTTGTAAAATCAATATTTTAATATAAGATAGTTTCTGACAAAGAATGTTCTCTGTGGTTTTTCCTAAACCAATGATTTCCTTCAGAATCATGTTGGACAAATGGAGCTTTTGTGCCATGGTGTGTGTGTGTGTGTGTGTGTGTGTGTGTGTGTGTGTGTGTGTGTGTGTGTGTGTGTGTGTGTGAACACCCACTACACTGGCTACACTGGCTAGCCAGTATCTCCTCTAAAGGGTCCCTAAGAGGCCCGCTTTCCTCATCTGAAAAAGTATAACCAGATCATCAATCCCCATCAGAGCTGAAATTCTGTCAAATTATACGCTTTTCCAGATGGATTCTATCTGCCAGTAATGTTCGTGACTATTCTTTCTCAACAAAAAAAAATGGCCCACTTTCCAGAAAGGCATACAGAAACAATTAAGAAAATGTTTAAAACACACATTGGATTTGTTCATCTATTCCCCTCCAGGCCTGTATCTCCTGAAGTAAAGGAGAAAGGAAAAGGAGTCACGGGGGCATTTTCCACCTAAACATAGCAACAACAAACTTGCACACCAATTTTGAGACCATCTGCCAGGGAGAGGTGTTTCTAAAGAAGGATGAGATTAACCTAGAGCCTGTAAAAGAAAATTTGACTCCCAGCCTCCTTTTAAATGACATTAAGTGAGAAATAAGAATGATTTCTGAAGGCATAGTTTAAGTCCTTTATGAGAAAAGGGGGATTCTGTCATTGTTTAAACATTTCCTGTGTGGTTTAGAAGAGCTTTCCAAGATTTAGATCTGTAGATCATGAAAACTTTTTTCTCATAGTCAGAAATCTCCTCACCTTTCATTCTGTACAACCCCAACGTACTTAGCAAGTAAATAGAGAAAACAACAACAACAAAATAATAATGAAGAAAATTAGTTGGTCTCTAGAGACTGTTGGAACTGTTTTTTCTTGGCAAGAAGTAGGAAGATTCATCAATGTGTGAATGCATTAAAGTTCTTTGGGTTTTCATGCAGATAGTATAATCTCAACAGGAAAATGAAATTTGGTGACAGGCTTTTCATTGAACATAAGAGAATTAATTAATCCTAGATTGACAGGACTCTTCTAAAAGCTACATTCCTGACCTGACTTTTGTAGTTGCGTCTCAATCCTGAAACAACTTTTTCATTTCTTAGTGCCTAATATTTCAGTTCCATTGGCAATCACTAGGAATACTTGTGTTAGCCAGCTTTTTTCTATGGTGGCAACTAATACCTGAGACAATCCATGACATTGATCAAGATGCGTTGTACTCATAATCTGACATGTTGAACTGAAACCCCTTTGTACAACCACTTAAAGATAATAGAACAGAGTTAGGTTTTCTTGTGTTCATGTGTGCCAGTCCTTGGACTTGAAGTCAGAGCCTGAGTGCTGTCTTTAGTAAGCTTCTTTTGCTCAGGCTAGTATTCTACTGCTTGAGCCACAGCTCCACTTCTGTCTTTTTTGGTAGTTTAGTGGAGATAAAGAATCTTATGTACTTTCCTGCCCTGGCTGGCTTTGAACCAAGATCCTCAGATTTCAGCCTCCTGATTAGCCACTGGCACCCAACTAAGAAGTAAGATTTTTAGCTGTAAGTTTTGGAAGTTTCAGTGCATGGTTAGCTGACCCCACACTTTAACGGTTCCATCACCTCCCAGTGGCACCAAGGGCTGGGCCATATGGGCCTGAGCTTTTCACATCTGAGATATTCCAGGTCAACATTGGAATAGTACTATCCACAAAGTGTCTCTTGAACACTGGATCAGGATTTCCATTTTGTTTATTTCACGTCCAAGCATTCCCAGAAAATGTTTATTCAACTTATTCAATCATCTGAGAAACATTGACCTACCACCACCATGCTCCAAGTGTGGATATGCGTGCTACAGAAATCCAGGCCTTCTAAGGATTTCTGATTTGAAATTTTCCTCATGAAGGTATCCATATCCAGAGGTTAAGTAGACATATGATTCAATCTAGCATACTTTTTAACGCTTAAGCGCTAAGGACTGGTAATATAACAATAAGTAACTGTTAGTAAAGGCCCCAGCCTAGTGGAGAAATGGACAGGATAAGCAGTGAGCTCAGACCCATAACCAAGAGATAGCCAAGTTACTGAGAAAATGTGGAAGAACATGGAAGGAAGTGTTTGTTGTACCTAGAAGAGTCTGAATGTCTTCTTAGAGAGGTTCACCTTACACCAGATTGAAGGCTGAACAGAAACTTGCAAAATGAACATACATGGAGGCTGGGGGCCTGGGCCACTCAGAGGACCTGAAGATTCCACATGTGTGCAGTGTCAGCTGCAGGTGGTCAGTGGAGTGAAAGCAGGCCGAAGGCCAAGGGTGGACTAAGTAGGGCTTGATGCTCTTTGTCCAGAAGATTGTTTTCCTTTTTTGGGATATGGAGTCACTTATCATGGAGTAATATATGACAATAGAAAGCAATAAATATCGAAAATAAACTCCAAAAAATGCAAACGAGATTTTTTCATTGTTGTTTTTCTTTTCTTTCCTTTTTGTCTTGTTTGCTTATCTGTTTTGGCAATGGGTAGGGTGGGGCACCGACTATGGAGGGACAAAGCATGAACAAATGCAGCAGTGGTACTCACTAGATACTATGTGGAAAATGAACTATACAACTTGTGGGTAGGGATGGGAAGGAAAAACTGGGAGAAG